AAAAAAAAAAAAAAAAAAAAGAAAGAAAGAAATTGGAAGGATTATTCATACGAACGTTGACGCGAGGGCCAAGTTGCCCGATAAAAATTGCATTATTGGCGAAAGTGGTGGTCGGTAGTGGCGGCGGGAAAGGAGAGAAACGCCGAGTGTCGTGAACCATGCTCGAGTGCCCACTTCGCGTCCGACCACCGACAACCGCCGATTCGCTTTATAACCTTCACAACCGCGGATTATTATTACCACTACGCGTTCTTTTCGAGACCTTCTGTCTCTGTGTACGTATCTGTGTGTTTACATCTATTATTATACGACTCGGCTTAGTACGACGAACGTCCACTTTTTTAAAGAAAATAACGACGAAAGAGAGAGAGAGAGAGAGTTATTATAATGTGACGTTCTCTGCATTCGATTCGTCCTCATCGTTCGTTCCACTCACGAAACGATTATTTTCGAAAGAAAGAAAAAAAGAATCTTCTCGATTCGTAAAGCGAATGTTTCACCTGAAACATATATTGCAGATTTGAAAAATAATTTATCACGGGCAATTTTTCACCGTTGGCTTAACGCGAGAGGGGATTTAACGAGGGCGGTTAGTGGGCGCGCGTGCAGTAGTGCTAACTCCGGCCTGAGTGTTAAAGTATATTTCGTGTCGCCGCCTCGAGAATATAAGATTGAATACGTGAAAATCGATGAATTATTTCCGCCCTATTAACGGAACCCTCCGATACTCCACCGTTCTGCGGCGATAGATCTTGGTCAATTTCTCCTCTTTCGGAGAGAAATATCCATAACCCCCAGGCTCGTCGTAATTCTTAATTTCGAAGGTACTCTAGGCCCTGCCCCGCCCCGCCCTCGATAAAAGGTTTTTAAACTAAACGTCGATACGTTCATTTCATTTCTCGACCGAAAAAAAAAAAAGAAAAAAAAAAAAACAGCGAAATTCATTTACGAGTTTAACTGGACAAAATTACTGGAAACTTCACTTGCGGTCGTTCATTTTGCGCTCCAACTTTTTTCGAATTTTCCTTCTCTTCTCTTTTTCCCCTTTCCCCCTCCTATCTTTCTTTAATTCGATCCTCTTTCTCGTATTTTCTTTCTTCTTTTCTTTTTCGAAAAATCGCATAATTCCCCTCGCCACGTCATAATTCTTCGATAGCGAGGCGAAAAAAATTTTTCAATGCTCCCCTCTTATACGTGTGTTACAGTACCCATGGAGTCGATACAGGGAGTGGCAGGACAGAGGGCAACTTTGCCCTGTAATATACAACCCCGTGAGCCGAACGATGCCGTCTCCATGGTGCTCTGGTTCAAAGAGGACAGCGGTGAACCTCTCTACAGGTAAGCCATCATCGTTATTTACGATGGATATTATTCAAAATCCCTGCCCTCCTCTCCTCTTGATATTTCCATCGATACGATCCTCACCTCCTTTATCGTAATTTCTTCGTAAAAAGAGAGAGAAAAATATATATATCGAAATCCAAACCTGGTCGATATTCGGATTATCTACTTTCTCCACGTTCTCTCGAGTCGTTCTGTTCGAAATGTTATTCTCTTTACGAGAAAACGCTAAAGGAGAAAGAGACGAGACGAAGAAGACGAAGGGATTTTCCGCAATTTTCACGACTGTGTGTAGATTCACGTGGGATTCGCGAATAGTTGGCCACGCGCAACGCCAACACGGAGGGAGGGGGGAGAGAGGCGGTGAAATGGGATTTCGTTAAGCCGCGAATCGCCTTTGCGTTCTATCCTTGCGCGAGCCCAGGTTCGAGTCGACAACCGATTCCATCCTCGTAAAATATCGCCGCCTTTATGGAGACAGTCCCCGTGAAAAGAGGATCAACCAAGGCCAACCTCGAAGTACTGGCGTAGTATCTTTATTTTTTTATTTTTTTATTTTTTTTTTGGTAATGCGTGCGGGAAAACTTGCCAACGTTTCACCACGATTGCACATTTCTTCAATCTCTCCTTCCACTCTCCATTTAAAGTCTTCTCTCTTCTTTTTCTCTTTTTCATTCGAAATCGTTTCTCCACGGGAATCGAAATTTTTGTAAATCGACGAAAATTCTAACTAACGTGAATAATTTCGAGTTAACGAATCGCGACTGAACGATTGTTATTGGAATCTCAGAGGATTCTTCAGAGGAAGGCGTGAACGACTGTTTTTTGAAAAACAGCTACACAGTAATACTCGCTTCCATGCCTTGGCATTATCGCGTCTCGTAAAAAAAGTCTTATTTCGTTCCAAGAGAAATACATAAAAAGCCGGAGAGGAGAACTCTGCTTTTTATTCTCTCCGTTGAACCATTCTGTCGGTACTTGCTACTCACACTGCTACTCGTGCGCGCGATAAAAACTTTCGAAATGTCCTGCTCCTTCTTCTCCTCCTCCTCCTCCTCCTCCTCCTCCTCCTTTTCCTCTTCGCGGAGCCGGCACTGATATTCGACACGCAGCGGAGGGCAGAATTCGATATTAATATTTAATCTTTGTCGCAGCACGGGAGTACGGGGAATAGAAAAGTTGAAAAAAAAAAATAAGCGAAGCGGAATAAATTATTTCATTTAGGAAACGAGAAGCGATGCGCACACCGTTTGTGCACAGAGTGTTTCGAAAGGAGAGAGGTAAGAGGTTAAAAGAGAGAGAGGGAGAGAATAAAAAAAAGGACCAACCAATCAAAAAGTCGAGAACTCTTTTGTGGACTTGTGTTTCTCACCTCTTTTCATAGTTGGAAAGTTTGGCTAGCTAGCTAGCTATCTTCGAAACACGTATAGCTATAGAAAGGAAATTCGTACGAATTCGCTTGGTTTAAGAAAGTATGCGTCGCGAGAGCGACGTCGTTTATACAAAGTGCTTCGAAAAAATGAATAATTCAAAATTGAAGAAGAAGAAGAAAAAGAAGAAGAAGAAAAAAGTCAAGCAATCGAAAAGTCGAGATGAAAAATGTTTTGGTGGCGAATCTCTATTTCTGTCGCTCTTTCAAAGAGCCCGACATCAAAATTTAGCTGTATCTTCGAAATATCCCGTATGTACAAACGACAAACGAAACGAAATACATACGTCATGATGTCGTTTGTACACTGCTTCGAAAAGAGCCAAGAATCGTTCGAAGAATCGGGATAAACGAGAAATATTCCGTGGACTTTTATCATCGTGATATTCTTTTCATTTTTGAAGACGAAAAAAAAAAAAAAAGAAAAATACACAAAGTTTGCGCTCCATCTTCGAAACATTCTCTCGTATCAAAAAGGAAACGAGAAAAAAAACTTAAATCTTTTCGTCTCTGTGGCCTCTTCTCGTTCCCCGAGACGGAGAAAATTCTAAACTATTCGAAACAACCAGAAAGCGAACGAAATTCCTAACCGAAATTCGGTTAATTTAATTTGAAGATAACGCATGCGCGTTAGAGTATCCATCAGACGTGCTTACAGCGACGCTCGCCGTGAGTCGAGCGTTAATTCGTCGAGCGAACGACCCAAGTTGACGATCGTTCTGTTCCCCCTCTCTTCTTCCAGCCTGCCTGATGCTCCGTAAGAAAAAGGGAAGGATCGATGACAGTCTCCTTTCAAGACTCGAGGAGGCAATAACGTAGTACGGGAAGAGGACGGTTTGCTTCCTCGAGTGGATAGTACTGAATTTCAAAATGGCTGTCGATCAATCCCCCTTATTGCCCATGCATTGGTACAGCTGTGTGTACATGCATAAATGGAGTTACACAGGATACCAGGGATGCGTGGCAGCCGTCTTCGTGATGTACACTTAAATCACAGCTCGCGTCTAATTGATTCTGTCCCAACGTTATAAAGCAAATGAGCGCCGCTTATGAAACGCAAATACATATTGCAGCCGGTTTTAATTAGAAATTAACCGAATTATTCCGATGGATTATTTTCGAGTCGAAAATAACGACGATTTACGTGCATATATATATACTTCGGATAACATAAAATCATTAGATTTCTTCACAAATTCCATTCTGAATTATTAGAATCTTGCTGGGCATCGCTATCAGATCTATTATTCTAATTTTTCAATTTCTTTTTAATTACTATCGCTGCTTTCATTCTTATTATCTCTCGATGAATACGATCGATCTCGTTTCTCAACAGTTCGAAATCAATTTCGCTCGAGCGAATAATTTTATTTTCGAAATTCATTTTTATTTAGGGCTTTTAAATTTTACGAGACTATAATATTTTCCCCACGAATTTTGCCGAATCTGAACTAACGAAATGGATATCATTGTTCAGGATCGTAGTTCTAGAAGAATTTAAAATCGAATATTTTATCTCCATTTTAAAATAAGAAACCTATTCAATACCTAATCAATACTGCGCTCTTATTAATTGTAGATAACGAGATTCAGCATAAATAAAGACTCGAAATATGAAACGTTGCGACGTTTTATTTTAAATTATATTTTCCTACATATTTCTATATTTTTATATATTTACTTATATTTTTACGTTATATATAACATTTTTAACGAAATAATAATTATAATAAAACGCAATACCTAAAAATTAAATTTTCATATATGCTCAAAATCGGGAAGAAATAATTTTGTTCAATTCTGTCTCTGAATTCTGATTTTTTTTTAATCCGAAAAATCTTGAGACATCGAACCGCGATCGTTAATTCTTCGAAGTAAGGAAAATACCTTGACGCGTATTATTTCTAGAATCGTGTAAAATGGAAGGATTAAAAAACTGTGCTCGTTGTCACGAGAACTTTTTAAGATTCTTTCTTCCTTTTTTTTTTTCTTTTCTTTTTTTTACGAGCAGCGACGAGGAACAAGTTATTCCGGGCTGCAACGTTAACCGACCTCTTCATCCGACAGAAGGGATAATACCGCGCTTATTAAACACGTGCCAGGATTAAAAAGAGACTAATCGCGCATTCTTGAAACGCAACGGTCGTTTCCTTCCAGCCAAAGGACGAATATATTCCTCCTTTGTTTAAATATACCATACACGCCACTCGAGGAAAAGTTAATTGCTGGCGCACGGATAAATGGACGTTCCATCGACGATCGGATTTATCGACTCGTCATTTTTCAATCGAAAACGATCGAATTGTCGAATGAATGAATTTCACAATTTGAAACGTGGATACCATTTTCGAGTCGATTTACACGAGCAGGATGAGACTCTAACTTCCAAAGATCAAATAATTGATTTAAATAATAATATCAGTAAAATACCACTTGAAGAAAAGGCAAGACGAATATTTCGATCGAATTATCGATTCGCAATTCATTTCAGACGAGGATATTACTTTTGAGTCGATTAACGACAGAATCGTAGGATGCAAGACTATTCTGGAAGAAAAGTTAATTTCTGGCGCACACCATTCTCTCAAATGAACTTTGTTTCCAAAGATTCAATTCGACGTATGTTTCGACGAATACAAAGACGATCGGGGATCTTCGATTCATTTAAACAACTTCGAGTCGGTTAACGACAGAATCGCAAGGCTACGAAACTTTAATGGAACCCCTTCGAAGAGAATTCCTGAATTATCTCTTATCTATTTTTCTTTCGTTAACTCTGTACGGTAATGTAATTATTTTTTTCCCAGTTTTATTTAATTTTTACGAAACAATATTTTTATTCTATAATTTACTGTTTCGTTCAAAAATGTGTTTAACATAAAATCATACATTGCATTTAATTGATATTCGATATACAAAAAATTGTATTAATTGCAATTAATTCTCTATTCCCTTCTTAATACGTAAGAAATGTGTCGATGTTTCAAAAAAAATAAGAAAGCTCGTTTTTAAGCAGACCAACAGCCGTGTATATTTTTTTCAACTCGTCATAAGAATACCTCTCGACGTGCGTCGTACGCTCGATCGATTACGAAAACGATCGGATTATCGACTTGAATCGATCGACACTCGGTGGAGAAAAGGGCGGGCTACGAGAGAGCAGCACGACGAGGCAGGTGTAATGGGAAACCGGAGAAACTCGAGGGACCTCGGTGTCCAAAGATCAAACGTCACAGGCAGCGCATCATCGCGCTAGCCGTCAGACGCATCGAGAGGGCGCCACTTGGCATCTCCTCTTAACCGTATAGGATCGTTGACACGGAATCGCACAAACGCGATCCCTTGAACGTCGGCTGACGCGATGTCACCCCGCTATTAAACCTACCGTCTCCTTCATCTATCCCCTCTCCTCTCTGCCCAAACCCCTTTCGATCAACCTCCTCTTTCCTCCTCCTCCTCCTCTTTCTCCCAATTTTCTTTCTCCCTCTTTCATTAAGCCACGCGAAACTTTCCGCTGACCACAATCTCCACGAGAGGGAACTTTTCTCTCCTCTCGCAACTTGCCGAT